TTTTTTGCTATAGGGCACGTGCACTCGCCAGAAAGACAGAGAGAGATAGGGAGACAGAAAGTGAGAAATCACCCCCCAGGGAGATGGCCACGCCACAATCCCTTCTCCTCCATTCTCCTCTTGGGATCTTGGGCACGCATGCACACACGCCCAGTGTGAGTTCTTTTCTTTTCTTTTTTTATTTATTTAATTTTTATATATACATTCAATCACATTGTTTAACTTACAAAGTGAACATTTGAATGTGTGAACATTTCTCCCCAGTCCAGTTGATCAAAATATCTTCAACTGATAATACTACACCTCCCCATCCTGTCAAATGCTCTGCCTCTGTATCCCTCCTCCAAATGGCTTTCCTTAGGCCCCACTCCTCCACACACACCACATCTGGCATTCACACCCATCTCTTGTGTTTGTACAACTTTTAGTCAATCAGTTTCAGTCATAGAGTGCAGACACTTAGTATATATTAAGTGGGGACATACAATGTCTCTCCTTCATAGCCTGGCTTGCTTCATTCAGCAGTAAATCTTCCATATTCTTCCACTTTCTGTCAAAAGCCAGGGTTTTGTTGGTTTTTATGGCTGAATAGTATTCCATAGAGTATATGTGCCACAGCTTTTCAATCCATTCATCTGTACAGGAGCATTTGAGTTGGTTCCATGTCTTAGCAATCATGAATACTGCCGAAATAAACATTGATGTGCAAGCACTTTTCCAATGAAGAATTCTTCTGTCTTTTTGGTAGATACTGAGGAATGGGATTGCTGGATCATATGGTAGTTCTATTTGTAGATTTTTGAGGAATCTCCAAATTGTTCTCCACAGTGGCTGGACCAATTTACATTCCCACCAGCCGTGTAAAAGAGTTCCCTTTTCACCACGCCCCTGCCAACACATCATTTTTTGTTTTTTTTTTTAATCTTAGACATTCTGACTGGGGTTAGGTGGTATCTCATTGTTGTTTTGATCTGCATTTCCCTTATGATGAGGGATGTTGAGCATTTTTTCATATGCCTTTTGGCTATTTGTATGTCATCTTTAAAGAGTGTTTTTTTCAACTCCTTCTCCCATCTTTTAGTAGGGTTGATCATCTTTTTTCCAAACAGCGGCTTGAGTTCCTTGTGTATTCTGGTTATCAGTCCCTTATCTGATGCATAATTTACAAAAATATTTTCCCATTC